TGTTCACTCAGCTGTGCATAATAGCACCAAATAAAATAAAAAAACACAATATATTGACCCGCGTTCTGTTTTCTATCATGCGTCGTGCACGTTTGCGATGACGTAAGATGCACGGAAACGCACCAGGATTCGATAGAATCAAGTTTAGAACTGTATGCAGTAACTGTTATATTTGCTGTTCTATTTGCAGTGCATTGAGCACAACATCATCATCATCATCATCGGCAGTCCGTCGTATATCGACGATGACTGTCTGGATTAGAGGCTATTGTAGGCAGGCTCTCATGTGGGCTAGAAGGCCTGCTCTCGATCTACAGCAGCGATGGCATTTGCTACAGACAAAGTCTTTTGCTGCAATGGAATAGTGCCGCCTCTCATGGGCTTTCTCGTAGTCTTTCTGACGCCTTTTCTCAACAGCTGCGACAGCTGTTTTCAATCCACGCTGCCATTTCTCACGATGCAGGGCCTGTTCCTCCCAGCTTTGCGGGGAGATCCCGGTGTTCCTCATATGTCTTTTTAGGGCATCTTTGAAACGCAGTTTTTGACCACCACGGCTTCTTTATCCCTCTTTTAACTCTGCGTAAAAAACTGCTTTGGGCAGTCGGCTGTCACTCATCCGGCGCACATGTCCAGCCCATCGCAGTTGTGATGATGTAATAAGGGCTTCAACACTGACAGAGCCAGCTCGTTGGATTACCTCTACATCTGCGATTCGATCCTGCCATCTGATGTGTAAAATGGCACGTAGATGACGTAGCTGAACTCGTGTGAGTATTTTGATCTGTCTGCTGTAGAGCGTTAAACACTCGGTGGCATAGAGCAAGCAAGGAAGTACAGCAGCATTGTAGACTTTCACTTTTGTGCTGTACGAGATGTCGTGACAGCTCCAAAGGCGCTTCTCGAGAGAGCCAAAAGCCTTGGTAGCAGACTGAATTCTCCTCTCAACTTCCAGATCTGAGGAGTTTGTGTAGGTCACTGTACTGCCAAGGTATGTGAAGGCCTTGACAGATTTCAGGGGCTCTCCATGTACCATCACTGGCTGTGGCTCTCTCATATTGTTGGAACCCATTGGGGGTGGTTGATACAAAAGTTCGGTCTTAGAGATGTTAATGTTCAGTCCGAACAAATCTGCTGCCCACGAAAACCGGTTTACTATATGTTGCATGTCCTCAGCGTTGTTAGCCACGAGAGCAGAGTCATCTGCATAGAGCAGCTCCCGGATGCATAGTTCTCTGGTCTTGGTGGTTGCTCTAAGTCGGGCTAAGTTGAAAAGCTTGCCGTCTGTCCTAGTGCGAATAAAGATCCCCTTGTGCAGATCAAGGCCCATTGAATTTAGCACAGCTGTGAGATATAGCGAGAAAAGCGTCGGTGCAAGCACGCATCCCTGTTTCACACCATGGTTAACTTCAAAGGCTTCACTGGGTTCCCCACCAATGAAGACTTGTCCTTTCATCCCTATGTGAAACTGCTTGATGATGTTGACAAGCTTCTCGGGGCATCCATAGATCTGTAAGACTTTCCAAAGAGTTCTTCGGTCGACCGTGTCGAAAGCCTTTGAAAAGTCTACGAACACCACAAAGAGAGACTGATGTTGCTCCACTGCTTTCTCCTGTAGCTGCCGTAGAGTAAAAATCATGTCAGTGGTAGATCTTCCCGGCCTAAAGCCGCATTGACTCTCTGGTAGGACTTGCTCGGCGATGTTTTTGAGCCGACTGAGTATAATTTTAGCCAGAACTTTGCCTGTTATGGCTAACAAGGAAATGCCTCTGTAATTTCCACAGTCTGCTCGGTCTCCCTTTCTCTTGTAGATTGTGACAATCAGTGCATCCTTGAAGTCCTGAGGTACACACTCATGAACAAGGCAGCTGTTAAAAAGTTTCAGGAGCTCGTCTCTGAGTACTCTTCCTCCTTTCTTGAGCACCTCTGAGGGGATTCCATCTAGACCTGGTGCTCTGTGGCTTGCTGTGGCATTTAGGGCTTTCTCAAGCTCTTCCATAGTGATCTCAAAGCAGAGGTCATCACGACTCTGGTGTCTCTTTAGCCATTTACAGGCATCTGGTTCAGCGAATACTTGCTGATTTAGCAGATTACAGAAATGCTCTTTCCATCTACTCTGAATCTTATGTAGTTCAGTGTAGAGTTTTCCTCCATCTGCTGATTTGACAGGTGCCACTGCATTGCTCCTTGGACCATAGATAGCCTTTAGTCCTGTGAACAATCCATGATAGTCATGGTTGTCAGCCATGCTTTGCAGTTTTTCTGCCTGCCTACGCCACCAGTCGTTCTTTATTCGCCTCACCACTCTCTGTACTTTGGCCTTGATCTCAGCAAAAGCAGCCTTACTCCTATTAGAGTTTTCCTGCAGATGTCGCTTATGCAGGAGGTGCTTTTCATCCAGCAGCTTCTGGATCTCCTCATCATGTTCCTGAAACCAGTCAGGTGTCCTACGCTGTGGGTGACCTAAGGTCATTTCTGCTGCAGAATAGACTGCCTTCTTCAGTGCTTGCCATTGTTCTTCAATGTCCTCTGATCCTACTGTTTTGACTTTTGCACCATTTACTGCAGATGACACAGTTTCAGCCAGTCTTCTGCAGTGCTCTTCATTTGCAAGCTTTCTAAGGTCAAGTTTTTTAGGGGTTGTGCCATTAGTTTTTCTCCTTGGCACGGTTATCTTGTGTCTGATCTGACACCTCACAAGGTAATGGTCAGTCGAACACTCCGCCCCACGTATGAGCTTGGTGCACATGATCTCATGAAGCCTGCTCCTACGGGTAACAATGTAGTCTAGCAGATGGTAGTGTCCAGAGCGTGGGTGTTTCCATGTGAAGAAGTTCTTATCTGGCTGTCTGAAGAAGGTGTTCGTGAGACATAGCTCTTGTTGAGCACAGAAGTTAAGCAGGAGGTCTCCGTTGGTGTTCTTTTTACCTTTGCCAAACTTTCCAATGATTCCAGCATAGGTTTCACAGTCACTTCCCACCCTTGCATTGAAGTCACCCGCAACTAACAGCTTGTGTTGTGGGGGGACTCTGCTTACAATCGTTGTCAGCTCCTGGTAGAAAGCCTCCTTTTCCTCATCTGGGTAGGTCATGGTTGGGGCATACACATTGACAATGGTCAAATGCCTGTCGTTCTCAATTGGTACACATATAACCATCATCCTCTCAGAGACGGATGTTGGCAGAGTTGTCAGCTTGATCTTGTTGTCGACAGCAAAGGCCACACCAGCGTCTCTCCTTCCCTCTGTCTTCCCAACCCAGAAGAAGGTGTAGTCTTCCTCTTGCACCTGACCCTGACCCTCAATCCTGGTCTCTTGAAGGGCAGCAATGTTCACTCTATATCGTTTTAGTTCTTTTGCAATCTGAGCTGTTCTCCGCTCAGGTCTGGAAACTCCGTCTAGCATAGTGCGGACGTTCCATGACGCAACAATCAACTTTTTACTTTTTCTGTTTCGACCGCTAATGTGAAGTCCCGCTGGTAGCGGTAAACCAGCCAGGATGTGTTCTGAGCACGCTTTTTTTACCCCACCTTTTCTAGGGGCTTCCCCTTCTGGGGTAGGCAGTGCTTTCCCTAAAAAGGGCTGCCCAGACGCTCACAGTGCTGCCTCAGCCCACTGGTGCTCAGGGTTCAGTGATGCTGCGACCATCAGCTGTGAGCCGCCTGTGTGCAAGGTTTCCGCTATCAGCTCCCAGCTACTTCAGCCTGCTGATGTTTCGTTCCCCTCATCGCCACAGGGCTTCTACCTACGCCTCCAGTCAAGACGCCTTGCACAGTGAAAAAGGCAGTTGGCGTCGTGCCCCCACCAGACTGCCTCTCTGGGCCTTCGCGCCGGTTACCACGTGGTGCACAAAGGTGCAACAACAAGGTTGGCGAGGAGGCTGCCCCGCAGTAGCATCTTACTTGCTGTTGACGCCATCCGTTGACCATAGCTGTGGTTCTTCCGCATACCATCTTGTGTTTGCACCATTGACTCAAACTAGTGAGTTCCTCGCTGCTCACACCAACCGGCACCCTGCTGCCAGTGCCTTAGACACCCTAATCCCCTTAAGGGGGGTCTGCTCGGTTTTATGGCGCCGACCATGCACTCGCCAGTTACAGAGTAGGTACTCACGGCTTCTTGTGCGCATTTTATAGGTGTAAGCTGGGTGTAGCTGGCCCCACGCACAGCCTCCCCACTCTGCCCGGATGCAGTTTAACGTCTATGCCCAGGACGTTGAGCACAACATACACATTATGTGAATAGAATACTGTTCCTGTATTCTCAATAAAAGGCAAATTATAAAAAAAATGTGTTGATTTATTTGAAACTTAATAGATATCATGTAAAAATATCGATTATTGAATCGGATCGAATCGTATCGCGGGGAATTCTGAAGTATCGAAAATAATCGAATCGTTGGCTTAAGAAATCGGTATCGTATCGAATCGCCATGTAGGCTCTGATTTACACCCCTACTTGCTATATTTGTTGTATTCATAATCATTACTTTTGCCAGTTCTTTGTGACAGCTTTTAGGTGCTTTATTGGCAGCGCCACCCTTACATGAATCACCTCACCCGCATTTTTTAAAATATTCATTTTTCGGCCATTATAAATGCCGATACCGATAGTTTGGAAAATGCCTAATATCGGCCCGCCGATATATCGGTCGGGCTCTACAATCTAGTAATAATTAATTTAACAACAGCTTATATACTATTCATTAACTATAAACTAATAGTTTGCAAATGATTTATAAGCGCTGTGTTACTGTACACTTGTGATAAAGTGTCACCATTATTTCAAACTGGTCGCATTAAGTGTAATTGTTCCTTTTGTATGTGATGGAGTGATTCTTCTTTCTCAAAAATAGCACAAAATAAACAAAGTAAAGATGAATTTGACTGATAGCATTATTGTTATTTTTAACCCCGGATGGGGCTTACGCCACACATATATTGTACACACTATCTACATATTAATCCTTATTCACTCAGAGTCTTTATGGTAGAGATGATCTTACCTCAGTGTCTCCAGTTTACAGAGAGGATTCTCCAGTAGATCAGAAAGATGCTTTATTCTTGAGTCTCCTAGTTTATTCCCAGACAGATCCAGTTCTCTCAGGTGTGAGGGGTTTGATCTCAGAGCTGAAGCCAGAGCAACACAACCTTCATCTGTGACTCCACAATCCCTCAACCTGTAGAGAACAATGACACACATTAAGCCTCTGGTTTTCTTCAGGGTCTTTTTAACCCGCAAATGACTTTTGCTCAAATTTTTAAAATAATTCTCTTTGTCCAAATGGTATGAAACTTTCTACGGCTCTCAACACTTTCTAGATCTACAAAAAAAATAAAAAATTGTAATGATTTCTGTTTTTATGTTAGCGTGAAAAAGATAGTGACACTAGTTGTCTTCGGGTCCCTGGAGACCCCGCATAGTAAATATACAAAATTCATCATCAAAATCAGAAACAATGCAGAACACATAGACAGAAATATATACATATTAATATATATATATATATATATATATATATATATATATATATATACGTATAAAAACTGTTCTCTTATCATTTGTAAAATAAAATCATCCAAAATGCAGAAACATAACAAAAATAAATTGGTGACACTGACACATTGAAAATGTGCGCACACACACACACACACACACACACAAAGGAATACATTTGTAAGGCTATAAAAAACTCATTTGTTATTGCTGTTCATGTTCATGTCATGTATTTTTACTCAATATGTAATATAACTGTTCATTTCTGTTAATTTTTGTTCTGTTAGTTAGTAACTGAAATGTTGATTAAAATTTTAGAATTATATTAAAAACAGATGATTGAAATAAATGATAAAATCTAAAAATGTATCTTTGTAACATTGTTCAGGTTTGATTCTAATCATAACATTATTGGAAAAAAAATTTCAGTACAAAAATGCTAAACTTTGACAAAAGTATTTTATTTTTGTTATAATTGTGATTTTATAATATTTTGGTATGAATCCAACTGAATACAACTTGTGAAAAGATATATTTAGTTAGTCGAATAGCAAATAGTGGAACTCTATAGCCATCTAGTGGTTAAAATTATTATTTTTTATTTTAAAACTGGATTTTCAAAAAAAATGGGCACAAATCTTACATTACAGTTTTTTACAATCACTTTGCTACTATTTTCAGAACCTTGATGTCATTTTTCAAAACTCTAGACACAAAACTCAAAACGATAATCACTTGAACACAGGCTGTCTAATGTTCAAAACATTGCATTGTGCATTCACATCTTTAAAGAAATCTTGCACTTGCACAATCATTGGTTCAAAAAACAAATTTACTGTGAAATACCATTGAAACATAACTATAGATCACCCACACACAAGCAACCGATAGTTTCACGGTGTCATTGTTCGTACAATCATTAAATATTGTAGAGCAAAATAGGTGATACAGGTTTCATTATGGTACTACATGTACAGTAAATACATCTCTGTAAAAGTACTGCAGTAGTAGAGAGAATATTACAGACACAGTGGAATCATTGTGAACAAAGTTTGTAATATATTGATGCAAAACACTACAGTACAATCACAACATGGTTTTTTTAATCAAAGCAAAAATAATTAGCTATGAAATAGAAAAGAAAAGACAGTACTGTAAAACAAATCAAATGCAGTGTTCATCAACTTGCTGTAAGAAACTAAACAGGAGTGATTACTGTACTTCTACACTGTCATCAACTCTGTGTTTTGGATTTGGCCACAGGTTCTCATCTACATCACAATGGATGTTGGAAAATGACATCTTGGAAAAAACCTTTGGCATGGCGAGTCCAGGCCTGACACTGCTCTGCTGTGATTGGCAGAATTGGACACGCAGTTACAAGGGCCTGCATCTATACAGTACTGTACTGTCAATAGTGTACATAGTCTGAAAAGGTGGTACAGTATTTGGCACCATAGACACAGTGTCTGATGAAGCATTACAGTATGATAAAATATTAGGCTACATCCATGGATATTGTAGTCTAATTGGTTCATGCCATGCTAATTGGTGACAATGAATCTCATTATCTTGAAACTTTCATGATTTACTCTAAACATGGACGATTGTGTGTCTGTTTCCATACAACTATGCATTAAGAGTAATGCAACAGTTACTTATCATTTTGAGCAGCTGTATCAATTGATAGTTAGATCATTGTAAGGAAATGAATAGACACTCATTTGAAATGTAATGTGTGAATTGCCTTTTGAAATAGTAGTACTTTGATGTTAAGTTGTGTCATATTGAACAGGTGATTTTTGTTGAATGAACAAATGATCTAAGTTTTATGTGTATTGTATCCAAGCAATTGAGAAAAGGGTTAGAGTTTTGAAAAATGTGCTTTTTGATCATTGGTTGTGAGTTTTGTGTCTAGAGTTGTGAAAAATGACATCAAGGTTCTGAAAATAGTAACAAAGTGATTGTAAAAAACTGTAAACCATATAAAGTTATCCATGTTATCCCCATGAATGAAAGTCAGAAATCTGGGTCTTTTATAAAGTGAACTTTACATAAAATGCTGTTTTTTTGTAAAAAGCCTATTTAAATAAATATTTATTTATAGAAATTTAAAAATATATAAAAGTTACAGTAAAATTATATTTGTAAAAAAAAAAAAATAACTATTCTTCTGTTACAAAATTAAATGTTATTGTCTGGGGTCCCTGGAGACCCCAAAGATAACTAGTGTCGGCCCCAAATGAAGATAACACAAGGGTTAAGCCTTTATCCAGAGATAAATATAACACTTAAACAATAAATAACATAATGCTGTCAACATGAAATGTGTAGAAATACTCATCAGTTCACTTTGTTAAAATACATCAGTTATGATTAGGGGATTGAATATACAGTTTGTACAGAATAAAAATCAGTATTTCTATGGAAAGTCCCCATAAAACATGGAAACCCAGCTTGCTCCAACAGAGGCTGAAGCGTGTGGTTATCTATGAGTGTCGTAATATCCCTGTCTAGTGGACGTGTGGAAGCGGCGTGAGACTGAAGCACTGAAAGCCCTCGCGCTGCTCATATGCTGAGAGAGAGATAAGACAGTAGAGCTGACCGATTCAGCTTTACAATACTGTGATCTCCATTCACACACACACACACCATCTTCTTACAATTCCTCTATTAAACCTTTGACTAAATCACATCGCAACACTTTACATCTGTGTTGGCGCTGCCGCTGACCCAGAGAGAGTTGGCATGAAACAGCTTAAATAGAAGTAATGGGATAAAAGTTTAAAGTTCAGATATAAACACTGATCTAGCTTTTGATAGAAACAACTGAAGGCACTCTCTGTAATCTCAATGAGGTCTGAAAAATGAAATGCCTGATATCACAGCGCTGATAAGCACAGCTCCTCAAAACTCTCCACTGACTTTATCAAGCCCACGGCTTTTAGTTTTTGGGTGGTTTGTAAAACCCTCAACACAGAGGCTTTATCAATTTGAAGATATTCCTCTGTTTTCAAACTAAAATAAAAATCCCTACTAACTTCATCAAAATCGTGTATCAAATCGCCTATAAAATCCTGAGCTTCATTCTCTCTCTCTCGCACAGCTCTCTCTCTCATCAGTAGCCATAGCAGCTCCGGAGCCGGTTCTGATCCAGGGTCAGTTTACTCCAGAGGTGTTCAGCGCATGCGTCTCTATTGATGAGGCTCCAGCGGGCCTGACACTTATATCTATATAAAGCGCTGTTACAACAAGCTAATGTTCAGTTTATTATAATATATAGCTAACGCTCATCTCATAAACATGATTTAAAGATTTTAAAATGATTGCACAACCACCAAATAGGAGGCGATATGCACTATGTAAATCAGCATTTAACAAAAGAAGAAAGTAGTCGTATGGCGCGCTTTTTCTCAGCGTCTGTTTCCATGGCGACTCGTGGATTCGTCTCTGTTGAGAAGGTCTGGTGTGTGAACCATGAAATTAAACAATAAAACCAAATAATGTGGTTTAATCAAGCAAGAGTTCAGGGTATGTTTGAGGGTAAGATAAGCTTGCTTTCTGGAACACACCCCAGGACACAGGCAGATCTCCAAACCAGGAATAGCAGAAAACAAGGACAACGCTCAGTAATGCCAGGAACTCTAGACAAGACTCTGCGCTGAGACAAACAACTGAACTGGGGAAATAGGCAGAGAGACTGAGGGATCATGAGTGCATATCATTTGTGCAATATCTCTTTTTTAAACAATGAATTAAACATATCAGCAAGTTTAACTGTTATTCTAAGAGATTATGGGAGGGAGAAAGATTATGTAAAACTGATAAAATGAAATACATTAAAAACATCTGGGGGTTTTTACCTAAATAAATGTATTAACATTTTAATTAAAGTAACACCAGGTAACTTTTCAACCTTCATAATATACTTCCAAGTCTCTTGTGATGGTACATCGACTTACAATAGGTTGAATGACACGTCTGCCATAGCCTGACGGGGTCTGTAGCGTTTTTAATCGTACTTTTAAACTTCGGGTTTCGGGTAGTAACCGGCGAACAAAGAGAACTACAAAATTCGACTGCTTTACGGCATATACGTCACTTCCACCACCACCCCCACTTCCTTAAAATCGGACGTGCGAGCCAAATGACAGACATCCCAAGTCTCCCGGAAGTCTCCCGCATATTGCTAGTATCTCCCTGATGCCCGCAAATTAGTTAAAATCTCCCGGAATCTAGAGCGAGATAGAACATACTGCGCACAGAGCTTTGAAAAACTCATATTTAACGGCTCTGACTGCGCGCATAACATACATAGCGCGCGGCGCGTGCAAGGGAGAGAGCGAGAGACCTTGCGAGTGTGCCTCAGGAAAGCTAGTCAAACCGACACCATCTCAACACCCCCCCCCCCCAAAATGAAAAAATCAAATGAAAGCCTATGTCTAAACTGCGTGCACAAGTTTGGTAGGGTCTACATTCTTGCAAGTAAATATATAAGATGTACAAAATCATATTTTAGGATACCTAACATGTCTGTGATATTGGTTTATTTGTCTTGCCTCAAGCTATAATGCAAATCGATTTGTAAAATTTGCAGATTCATTTATGGTAGCTTGATATTATAATATTTACGATATATGGTTATTATCTAGCACTCAAACATTGCATTGAAGTATCAGATTCAGTAAAACGGTAACCAATAGACTAGGCTACTATAATGACGCTGGCTTGTAAACGTGATCATCGCGATCATTTGTCGTTAGAAAAAAAAATAAAACCCATGAAATTATATTCATATGACATGCTGAAATATATGCCACTGTACCTGGGATGAAGACATTTCAGACAAGACGCAAGCAGAACACCTGCATGTGACCTCCTCCTCATGTGTTCAGTGCTATCGTGGTTGTCAACAATTGCACGTGCATGTAGGATGACAGAGTTTACGACAGTAGTAGAGGTCTAGAGGACAATACTGTTTCCCAACTGTAGGGGGACCCCACCCCGAGAGCAAAAGTAACCTGGTGTTACTTTAAATTAAAATAAATATTAAAAAGTCTAAATATAAATGTTCATTTGTTTAAATGTTAATTATAAATGCATATATTTGAAAATAAATTTCTCACATAAATATCATAAAAACGGTTACGTAGATCATTAATCAGGTCAGATAGGTGGAGGGTTTAAAAGCTGAAGTGTGACACTCATATTATTTGTTAAAGCATTAATGTATAATGTTTAAGTAAGAACTGTTATAATGTTTTAGCAGTGATGCTTGTTCTCAGTGTTACTTACACAGCTGATCTAGTTGCTGTAACCACAGGCATCAGCTTCTGGAGAACTTCATCTCCTGTGTTTTGGGGGACACTAATAGAAAATAAAAAATAAACAAGTTAATTAATAATGCTAATAATAATAATTCATAACACAAGTAAATAATACATTATACCTTCATAAATACCCTCAAATATGTTTTTAATTAAACACTGCTTTATAAAGGACGTGTGGAAAGTTGTTTTAGTGTCTATAACTGTAGAAGCCTCGTATTCTCCTGCATTCTATTCTCCTCCATTCTCCTGCTATGTTAATTTTATGTCCAAGATAAGTGTATGTCTCATGAAGAGAATATACACGTACAGGTTTTGTTGCTACTGTAAACACTGGGCATTTATCAGTTTTTGAACGGTACCACCTGTTCCCTCCGCTTCTCCTCTCGTACAGAACAGCACATTTAGTGTCGTTGATCTCCATGCCTGACCACTTCAGAAAAGAGTCTGTCCTGGCCAGCATGTTCTTAATGACGCTTTCCTCTCTGGAGGCAATCTGGACATCATCTGCATAGCCCTGAACTGGGATAGGCGATACCACACCAGGAGGGGCACATTGACACATCCACTTTATCCATTGGTTGATGGCAATTATAAAATGAATTGCACTCCAAGGGCAGCCCGTTTTAATGCCTATCTGGAGTGGTGTTGGCTGGGTGAGCTGTTCTCCACAGATTACTTCAATAAAGGAGCCTTTATATACATCCTTCACGATGTCAATGAACGGTTTAGGTAGCTGTATTTCCTCCAGTGATCTGAACATGACATTGTGAGATAAAGTTCCGAATGCATCTCTAAAGTCTAAGAAGACTGAGTACAATTTACAAGACTCGTGCTTAAAATCATCAATCCCTGTTTTCAGGCAAAATACATGCTCATTCATACCTTGTCTATTGATGTACGCCTTTTGTTTAGTGGATAGGATGTCGGCTTCCACCAACCAAGGGAGAACTCTAGCCAGTATGCATTTCATGAACACCTTATAGATGGTAGGGAGAAGGGATATATCCCTCCATGTTGATGGTTCATCAGGGATGTTGTCTTTTTTTGGAATACGATGGATTAGTGCTCCTTTCCATGAATCTGGTACCCTCTTATTTTCCAAACAGACGTTAAAAATTGTTGTTAAAATTTTACGTGACTGTATTGTTTTAAGAGTCTCATATGTCACACCATCCTTGCCACTTGCTTTATTGTTAGGGAGGTTTTTTAAGACAGTCTCTACTTCCTTAAATGTGAAGTGCGTGGTTTCAGGGAAAAAAGTTGGCTTCACTGGCGGCACGTTCAAATACCAGGGTGGGGGTGGGAGATCATCATTACGCCTCTGATCTTGGCATTTATTATCATAATATGTTTGTATGACTGTGATATCGCTAGAGCACGATGGACGGGCAGGATATTCACTACTGTTTAAAATGACTTGAATCGCTTTAGATCTTCTATGCTGCCACAGGTATGCAAGTTTATTCCTGCTCACCTTTCTATTCCGCTTGGGTTGAGTCGCTCGCGTCCGCAGAGAAGACGATTTCCCGCAGATAGCGCAGCTGTTGGTGGATCCAGTCAGCTGTCGAGGCCGAAGTTACGTCTTCAGGATATGGTTGTGTCACCGGGAACTTCTTTAAAACTCGCGCCACATATTTCAGAAGTTGTAATCCGAAAGGCTTACCAATGTGGCTTTCAGCTGTAAAAAGTCCATTTTTGAAGAATATCCCGTTTAACAATTTAGCAAGCGTTCTCCACTTTCCCGGGTCACCAGAGGAACAAAAGCTCGTCTCGCGTTGGCGTTTGGTGCTCAGACTATCTCTATAGGCTTTTTCATGAGACTGGAAAGCCATCCATTGATGCTCAGACAGCGGGCACACATACTGCTGGAAAGCTGTAGGCTCTTCTCCCATTAGATGTAATCCACGGGAGAGATCATGGGGTGGCAGCGTCTGTAGGTAAATTCTCCCGGTAAGTAATGCTTGCTTGTAAGCTAGTTTGATTGTTGCGATCAAACACATAGTCCACAATAATTGGCAAAACATCGTATCTGCACCTATTGCATTAACGATGGCAATTACAACGGGTGTGGTTGTTTTAGTTTTTACCAAACAACATTTCGGCATACACTTGTGCTACCGGAACCGGAACCGACACTCTCTCACACACACACTTTACATCTGTGTTGGCGCTGCCGCTGACCCAGAGAGAGTTGGCATGAAACAGCTTAAATAGAAGTAATGGGATAAAAGTTTAAAGTTCAGATATAAACACTGATCTAGCTTTTGATAGAAACAACTGAAGGCACTCTCTGTAATCTCAATGAGGTCTGAAAAATGAAATGCCTGATATCACAGCGCTGATAAGCACAGCTCCTCAAAACTCTCCACTGACTTTATCAAGCCCACGGCTTTTAGTTTTTGGGTGGTTTGTAAAACCCTCAACACAGAGGCTTTATCAATTTGAAGATATTCCTCTGTTTTCAAACTAAAATAAAAATCCCTACTAACTTCATCAAAATCGTGTATCAAATCGCCTATAAAATCCTGAGCTTCATTCTCTCTCTCTCGCACAGCTCTCTCTCTCATCAGTAGCCATAGCAGCTCCGGAGCCGGTTCTGATCCAGGGTCAGTTTACTCCAGAGGTGTTCAGCGCATGCGTCTCTATTGATGAGGCTCCAGCGGGCCTGACACTTATATCTATATAAAGCGCTGTTACAACAAGCTAATGTTCAGTTTATTATAATATATAGCTAACGCTCATCTCATAAACATGATTTAAAGATTTTAAAATGATTGCACAACCACCAAATAGGAGGCGATATGCACTATGTAAATCAGCATTTAACAAAAGAAGAAAGTAGTCGTATGGCGCGCTTTTTCTCAGCGTCTGTTTCCATGGCGACTCGTGGATTCGTCTCTGTTGAGAAGGTCTGGTGTGTGAACCATGAAATTAAACAATAAAACCAAATAATGTGGTTTAATCAAGCAAGAGTTCAGGGTATGTTTGAGGGTAAGATAAGCTTGCTTTCTGGAACACACCCCAGGACACAGGCAGATCTCCAAACCAGGAATAGCAGAAAACAAGGACAACGCTCAGTAATGCCAGGAACTCTAGACAAGACTCTGCGCTGAGACAAACAACTGAACTGGGGAAATAGGCAGAGAGACTGAGGGATCATGAGTGCATATCATTTGTGCAATATCTCTTTTTTAAACAATGAATTAAACATATCAGCAAGTTTAACTGTTATTCTAAGAGATTATGGGAGGGAGAAAGATTATGTAAAACTGATAAAATGAAATACATTAAAAACATCTGGGGGTTTTTACCTAAATAAATGTATTAACATTTTAATTAAAGTAACACCAGGTAACTTTTCAACCTTCATAATATACTTCCAAGTCTCTTGTGATGGTACATCGACTTACAATAGGTTGAATGACACGTCTGCCATAGCCTGACGTGGTCTGTAGCGTTTTTAATCGTACTTTTAAACTTCGGGTTTCGGGTAGTAACCGGCGAACAAAGAGAACTACAAAATTCGACTGCTTTACGGCATATACGTCACTTCCACCACCACCCCCACTTCCTTAAAATCGGACGTGCGAGCCAAATGACAGACATCCCAAGTCTCCCGGAAGTCTCCCGCATATTGCTAGTATCTCCCTGATGCCCGCAAATTAGTTAAAATCTCCCGGAATCTAGAGCGAGATAGAACATACTGCGCACAGAGCTTTGAAAAACTCATATTTAACTGCTCTGACTGCGCGCATAACATACATAGCGCGCGGCGCGTCCAAGGGAGAGAGCGAGAGACCTTGCGAGTGTGCCTCAGGAAAGCTAGTCAAACCGACACCATCTCAACACCCCCCCCCCCCCCCCCAAAATGAAAAAATCAAATGAAAGCCTATGTCTAAACTGCGTGCACAAGTTTGGTAGGGTCTACATTCTTGCAAGTAAATATATAAGATGTACAAAATCATATTTTAGGATACCTAACATGTCTGTGATATTGGTTTATTTGTCTTGCCTCAAGCTATAATGCAAATCGATTTGTAAAATTTGCAGATTCATTTATGGTAGCTTGATATTATAATATTTACGATATATGGTTATTATCTAGCACTCAAACATTGCATTGAAGTATCAGATTCAGTAAAACGGTAACCAATAGACTAGGCTACTATAATGACGCTG